CAAGTGGTTGTTCTCCAGATTTCTTGGCACAGCTTGGTGAGCACATCCAGGGCAACATCTGTTATCTGAAATACTTCAATTGGTATAAAGCCCACTGACATAGACTCATTAATATAACAAAGAAACTCTACTCCCAATAGGAATCACATCTACAGCTATGGGAAAAACAAGACCCATTGCAATCACGTGGAATCTGAACATGGCGATCCTCCACTGGGTTTCTGAGGCTGTAAATCTTAACTGCAGGAGACTACACAAGACTACACATCTTTCTCCCATGGAACAACCAGGGGATTTGAACCAACAACCTTTTGGTTAACAGCACAACATGCTACTCGATACTCCACCAGAGGTCCTCTTTCCACAGTTATATGAGTTAGGATTCAAGCACTTTTGCAAGGAGAGGAAGGGTACAATTCCGTTCATGGCATCAGGTGTAGATGTCAATAGATTTTGCATTTAAGTGAACAATCTTCCTTCAGTTCAGCCTTCTCAAACAATTCTATGTCTTGTAAAGAGCCTTGATAACCAAAACGTCAGCAGTTGAAACCCACCAACTGCTTTGCGAGAGAAAGATGTGGCAGTCTGCTTCTGTGAAGACTTACAGCTTTGGGGACTCTATGCAGCAGTTCTGTTCTGTCCCACAGAGTCACTCAAATTCAATGTGGCTTGAGGGCCACAGGCACCACATTGTTTACCTTATAGCTAGTCCATGACTTATGATGTAATCAAGACACAGCAAACCCCACTTATGACTATCTCTGTTATCTCTTTGAGTTGTGGTGCTGCAGAAGAGTCTTGAATATGCCATGGACTGCCAAGAAAACAAATACGTCTTGGAGAGGGTGAAATTAAGTCTCTGCTTGGAGGCTAGGATTTTGAAGCTCCATCTCATTTACTCTGGGCATGTGACAAGGAGAGATCAGTCCTTAGAGAAGGACATTATGCTTGGAAGGGTGGACAGACAGTGCATGAGAGGACGACTCCAGATGAGATGGATTGATAGTTACTGGAGCAATGGGGGTATTTGTGTCGGAATTAGTGAGACTGGCTCAGAACAGGGAAGGGTTCAGAGCTGTTGTACATAGGGGTTGCTGTACATCGCAGGTGACTCAATGGCACATAACAACAGTAACATACTATGACAGGTTTGGAAGCAGGAATGGCATCCACTTCCTAAATAACATTCCTCCAGAAACTCTATGAACTTTGATAAATGTCGATAGTTGTAGAGGGGCTTCGAGCATTCATAGGGTCACTATGAGTTGTGCTCAACTCGAAGGTAATCAACAACAACAACAACAATAAGTCAAGGAGTGCCGGGATCACTGGCCATTACTAGAAGTGAGGAAAGAAATATGGAGAACGTTCTTCCTCAGAGCCCTCAGAAGGCATCATCAAGGCTGATTTGACCCTCCCTGGTTTAGACTTCTTGGCCCCGGAGCAAGAAGACAATATGTGGCTATTGTGTTAAGCTACCCAATGTATATAGTGCTTGTTACAGCATTGATAGGACACTAATACACTAAGCAAATGAATGAAGTAGCTGTCCCCCCCCCCCGCCCCGCCTAGTTCACTCTGGAGCCCATGCCCACAGATTACTGGTATCTGCACAGATGCTCCATTTTCCATCCTCGTCCATGTTCTCAGTGGTCGGACACCAGAAGTAGCTGCCACTGTCAATGCATTGAGTGATGCTCTTGTTTCTGTGGATGGAGGGGAAAATGCAGGGCTTGCTGAAAGAATTGCCCCCGTATTCTGTAAACATAAAAACGAAAAGAGAAAATGCATAAAATCTTCACAACCAAGAAACAGTACCATGATAAATGAAGAAGATTGACACTTCAAAGATTCCCTTTGACTTGGACCCACAGTCAACACTCGTGGAAGCAGCAGTCAAGGCATCAAATGATCTATTGCAATGGGCACATCTGCTTCTAAGGATTTTTTTTTATTTTATGTATTGACTTTTACTCTCCTTTTCTTCTCTTCCAATTACTGGTAACCCTCCAAAATAGAATTTTAAGTGTAAATCTTTCCTTGGCTTTAAAAAAATAGTGAATGTATACTAAATATTGTGACACTGATGTGTCAAATGAAATAATGGTTACGCATGGTGGACAGTGCTTTGTGGAGTTCCCTGATTAAAACAAGCTTAGAAGCAGGAGTGGCATCAACTTCTGAAACAGCTTCCCTCCAGAAACTCTAAGAACTTGGAGAAACTATGAAAGTTATACAAGTGTTCAGGTCTTTTGTTCATAGGGTCGCTATGCACTGTCTACGACTTGACAGCACTTAATAACAACAACAATATGATCTTTGTCACAAAGGAGCTCTTTAAAGAGTTAAAGAGCAAGGTTGTCACTTTGAGAATCAAGATGCAACCAACCCACACGATGAATTTTCAATTACTTCATGTGAAAATTGGAAAATGAATAAGGAAGACCCAAGAAGAGTAGATGGCT